TGTGTGTGTTTAGATATAAACTTAGCACAAAAAGTGAGGCAATAACAATGACAATAAATCAAGAAGCATTGGTGATAGCACCTTAAATGGTGCTATCACCTCTGTCAATTGTCATACACATTCACAACAGCCAGCCACTTCCTCCTCATGTTGGTCACCAGCTTGGTCACACTGCTGTGGTGTGGCATCCCATTCTTCAACTAGCATTTGTCAGAAGTCAGCCAATGTGCTTGGTCACTCTGGAATAAACAGCACACCCAAACTGCTCCCACGAGTGTTCAGTAGGGTTGAGGTCAGGACTGTAGGCAGGTCATTCCATCTTCTTCACTCCCAAACTCTGGAGGTAGACTCTGGAGGTAGCCTCTGGTAAACCCCGCTCTGTGGGGACAAGTGTTGTCATCTTGGAGGATAGCATTTGGCCCAATACTGCAGAGACCATATCACTGCAGTATTGGGCCAAATGATTGCCTCTTGTTGCAGAATCTAATCTCAATATCTCTGCATTGAGATTGCCTCCTGTGATGACAAGCTTAGTTTTTCAAGTGAGGGAGATTGACGCCCTACACCATCACACTGCCTCCATCAAAAGTTGTTATGAGCCTTGACCTGTAGAAGACTTCCTGCGGTTCCTAAGTGCTCACAGATTGAGGAAACAGTCTTTTTGTCATGTCATTTTCTTGGGATGCCCACTTGATGGCCTGTTTCTGTCATCCCTCGTTACATGGAACTTGTCCTTTAATCTGGAGATGGTACTAGGGCTCATTTCAAACTTTGAAATTTCATGGACTACAACAGCAATAGTTATATTTTATCATTAAACATTTTGATTAAAGGGCATACTATTGGATTAACTATCCACTAACATAAAAAAAACTATTTTGGTAGTTACCAATGCTGTTAGTTTTAGGCCAGATACAAAATAAAACTCACACTGAGTGGTTTCTAACATATTTATGTTTTTTATCCGATTAGTCATTTCCCTTGGAATCTCGTTAAACTAAAGCTTGAAAGATATTTTATACCGTCACATATTTATATGTAGCTGTTTTCAAAGCCGCCTCTGTGGGGGCACGTTTGGTTTAAAATTAAGTTTAGGATGATGGACCTTCACTAAACCCGCCAAAAGGTGGCGCGAGAGTAAATATTATGAAGACCCAGCCCAGAGGCGCTCACACCTCTGACAGTACCTCACACTTCATTTTTGCGAAGGACAATCAACGAAGTATTAAACGGGAAACTCGTTCATGTAAATGGGCTTAAAACGCTGTATCCACCAATCTCATCCACCTCGTGTATAAATTTACATCAAATATTTTTTTTCTTTAGGAAAATGAAGAATAGGCCGGATCCTGATTTACAGATCTCTTTTATTATTTAAAAAACAAAACAACTAAACAAAAAACAAACACGCAAGAGAGAAGTATTAATATGCACAATTTGATGTTCAAATTGATTTTATATATAATATATGAAATAATGTATACATTGATTTTGAAAATATTATATATACATATATATGTTCATGTTATTGCAAAACAGAGTAAAAAAACTTTCATTGGTATTTATTTACTAAAATCTTCCCCATCCCATTTTTTGATCAATATATTTTTTAATCCATATAAAACAAGCCGCTTAGCCTAACCACTGCGTGAGTTTTAGTTCTGTGTGATTTCTGATACAAAAAAAGAAAAAGAAAGTTTGCAAGGGGAATAAAATCACGGAGGAATCAAATAAATCAAAACGCAATTTTATTCCTTTTTTAATCGCGCGGGTGATCGTGAGTTGGTGACCGGCAGCCTGGTGCGAGCATGCACACACGTGCGCTCAAAGGCTGCACACACACACTGAGAGGAAAGGCTGGGACACGGGTGACAAGAAAAGTCAGGGGGAAAAAAGTACCTGTACAGGAGTGAACAAGAAAAATATAGAATGGTTTACGTTTCATCAAACATAAACAAAGAAAGTGACACAGGCGGACAGAGACGGATAAACAGCCGAGGGAGAGAGAGGATAGGAGAGAGAGAGCCAGAGGGAGAGAGAGGAGGGGTTATCCAGCCTCTGCCTCTTCACCCGACAGTGCCCCGCACTCTCACTTAAGCCGCCACACAGCGCCGGCCGGAAAATAACCTGAAATACTTTTGATTAAAAAAATCCTCCGGGTGACCTCCGGTGTGACTCAGCGCAACTTCTGACGACGACGCCGAAGTGTCCCGGTGTACTTTCTGATCCTCGGCGGAGCGCAAACACGGAGTTACCAAAGTCCGCGACAGGCTCCAGCGATGGTGACTTTACGCACGGGATTTGGAAGCTGTTTGCACTGACTCCTGTTCTCGCCGCCGAAAACTCCGTCAGCGTCGCTCCCCCCGAAGAGTCGTCAAGTTTGCAAGAAGCACACAGCGCATGACGAACGACTGAATCCAGGTAAGACCCGTCCTGCTACATCTGCGTGGAGGCGCCGGGACGGTCAGCCCGCGCCACCACCGGGGCTGCTCGTTTTGAAAAGTCCGTGCGCACTCCGCTTATCTCTGCTCCACAACAAACCGCGATGACAGCCGCAGACCCGGGCTGCAGGACTGTGCTTAAACCCCACAGCAGGGCTGTGATTGGACCGCATCACCTGAAAAAGTAACTCCGGGCAATTCTTTTAGAAAAGTTTGGTGCTGTAGAGCTTATATGGAAAAAGTTCCGTAGTCATTTTTATTTGTCATAAATGACTCAGATTTAGATCCAGTCACAGAATTAGATTGCAATAGGTTTGTAATTAAGTGATAGTAAGCTTTGTCAGGAGCTCGCCGTCTGTTACAGTTGTTTTCACACTCTTTGTATTATGATAATACTGCAAATCGTTTTCACCTGTAATTATATTTATAACAGCCACTGTAAAACCGCGTGCTTGTGAGGAGAGCCTAAATGGAACATACATATTTAGATAATATATAAAATTAACAATAAAGAAAAAAAATCTTAAAAAAATACAAAAACACACATTTTCCAATTTTTTTCAGCGCATTTCCACCTTCTTCCTTTAGTTTGTGTAATCCAGATTCAAGGTTATTTCCAGACATAAAGGATGCAATCGTGCAAGAAAAGCAGGCTAAACTTCACCCTTCACTACATCCCTGTCACGCACCATTAACAGAAATGGATTAGCGGTTCTGTAGCACCAGAAAATTGTTCTATAGGCTTAGAGCTCATTAAAAGACATTTAGAAAGAGGTCGAGAGTTCAAAAACTTTGCATAAAAGTTTTTGAGCTCATTATCTTGAGTGATAATTCTCAAGAGCCCCAAACTTGAACTTGAAAGCAGCATTTTCAGAACACTTCACAGAAATAAAGCCGCTCTTAAAGTCAGCCCATCGCTCAGGTCGGCTGGAGGATGCGGGCTGCTGCAGTTTCAGCATTTTCCTCTCCGGCCACAGCGGTGGCCCTCTCGTCTGTCAACGCGAACGCGTCGGGTACTACTGCCGGACCTCTGTGGTCCTCGTGCGCGTTCACGGGTTCGCCGCACATCCACAGTGTACAGTTCCGTCCGTGGCCGAGACTGTGGTGGTGCCCCTGCGTTTCCCCACTCGCTCTGGAATACAACCGGTAGGAAAACAGACCACAGAGGCGAGAAACCCCGTCCTCAGGGCCTGAGCTGTTCCGGGGTCACGCAGACTGATCCTAGAAAAACCCGTGAGCCATAAATGAAAATAGACCCGCAGCACCAACACACAGATCCACCGAGACAATACAACCGGACAGGACAGCGTCCCGGGACGGCCCACGAGATAAGAAGTTAGTCCGTAAGTCTCCTTCCACCCCCTTCATCTTTTTCTTTACGTGGCTTTTTGCGTTTTTTTCTTTTCGTACAGTGCATCTGAACTTTCTAGGAGAACACGAGTTTGAGTTTCACCTGACACTCGGACAGAGTGACGGCGCCGGTTATGTGTGAAGTTAATTGCGTGGGTGCATGAACTTGAGCCACGCGGAGAGGGGGCAAGTTTCTTATTCAGAGCGGGGAGAGAGACCCGCTTCTCGGGCAGATCAGCGTGGGACCTTGTGTACCGTGTGAAAGCTTTTGGCCCCGAGTTCACGGTGGGGATGTGACAGAGGGTACAGGAGGACAAGGCGCACGACAACGGCGGGCACCGACTGATAAAGTCACTTCAGGGTGTTCCCCGTATTTAGAGACACGCTACACCTCCGAGATAAGCCTCTGCTGGCCGGCAGATAAGGAGCTTTCAGAGAGTGCGAGAGAGAGAGTGCGAGAGAGAGACAGAGAGAGAGATCACACGCGTGACAAAACGAGTTTAAAAACCACTGGAGAAGGAAGTCGAGTGTCCGGCTAACGGTTTTACTCATTCCTAAATAGCTGAAACCACATTTTCATCGCTTGTTGTTACGGGAGTTGTAGTAATAACGCGCGATTTCCCACTATCTGCTGTAATTGTTAATTGTTTCACTCCTTCTTCTTCTTTTTGTTTTTGTTTGCTCATCAAATCACTCCTCTATTCACGCTTAGAATCGCCCCAGCTTGACAGATCCTCAGGTTGCCAGTTTGGGCCTGCCCACGCGCAATAATGACAATTTCCAACAGGTTGTTTAATTGTTTGGACTCTGGCAGAACTATTTATAACCCCCCCCCCCCCCCCCCCCCCCCCCACACACACACACACACACACACAACACACCGCCACCAGCCCTCCTCCTTAACTCTCTTGTAAGTGAGAGTGTCTGTCTGAAAAACAATCCGAGGAAGGGGGGGTCCGCTGGAGTCGATCTCCTGTGGTATTTTCTTTTGAGCAGGTGGTGCGAGTTGAAGTTCCCTCATAAGGTAAAGTGGCATTAGAGGGTCCAAATGGCAGACTTATATATAGGCTGCCAATTCAGCACATTGTTCAGGACTGCATGGCTGCGCTTTCTCCGCTGTCTGACGGAAGACCTGCAGCTTTTTTTTCTCCCCCTCTTCCTCTGTGGGAATCAGCCTTGACAACAGGCGGACAAGCGTGAACACAGCGGCCGGTCCACACAGTGACCGGCCGCTGAACAATGTGAAATGTCCATCGGATCTCGAGCAAGTGGGAGATAATCGTCACCCGCCTTATAAAATATATAAAAAAAA